CAGCAACCCTGTTTGTTCTGTATAGTTAAAATGTCTTACGGCTTGCCTCCATTTTTATATCTTCTTTTATTTTTCCTTCCCTTCCCTTATGTTCATCTGTTTGGTTTATTAAATTCCACATTTGAATGAAATCATATGGCACTTGTCTTTCTCTGACTGACTTATTTTGCTTAACATTGCTTAGCATAAAAAACTCTAGCTCTATCCAAGTCAATGCAAATGGCAAGATTTCATTCCTTTTGATGGATAATATTCCATGGTATATTCACTACATCTTTACCCATTTATTAGTTGATAGATATTTGGAGTTTTTCTATATTTAAGCTATTATTGATAATGTTGTTATAAACATTAGGGTACATATAACCCTTTGAATTTGTATTTTTGTAGACTTTGTGTAAATACTCAGTAGTGCAGTTGCTGGGTTGTAGGGTAGTTTTATTTTTAGCTATTTTGGGGAACCTCCACACTGTTCTCCAGAGTGACTGCATCAGTTTGTATTCCTACCAACAGTGCAAGAGGATTCTCCTTTCTCCACTTCCTCACCAAGCTTTGTAGTTTCTTGTGCTGTTAATTTTAGTCATTCTGACAGGTATCAGGTGGTATCTCTTTGTGGTTTGATTTGTATTTCCTTGATGATGAGTGATGTTTAGCATTTTTCATGTGTCTGATAGCCATCCGGATATCTTGTTTGGAAAAGTGTCTATTCATGTCTTCTGCCCATTTCTTAATTGGATAATTTGGGTTTTGGGTGTTGAGTGTGATAAGTTCTTTATAGATTTTGGATACTAGCCCTTCATCAGATGTTAAATACAAATATCTTCTCCCTTTTCATCAGTTGCTTTTCAGTTTTGTTGATCATTTCCTTTGCTGTGCCAAAGCTTTTATCCTGATGAAGTCCCAATAGTTCATTTTTGCTTTTGTTTCTTTTGCCTCTGGAGCTGTGTCTAGTAAGAAGTTGCTGCAGCCAAGGTCAAAGAGGTTACTCCCTGTGTTCTTTAGGACTTTGATGGTTTCCTGTCTCATTTACATCTTTCAACCACATTGAATTTATTTGTGTATGGTAGAAGAAAGTGGACCAGTTTTGTTCTTTTGCATGTTCCTGTCCAAGCAGGGGAACTGCTTCTCCTTGTGTGACCCAGGGGATCCTCAGATCACACTGCTTGCTCCCAGGTCTACACCCTCCTTTCCCATTGAAGCACCACTAAGCCCACTATGTGGAACACTCGCGATGGCCTGGACTGATGAACCTTCAGAATCTGTGCTCCACTGTTTATAAAAACTTGTGGTATTCATCTCTACTCTTTTCCCTTGGCTATGGTTTTGGGGAAAAGTGTTCCTTGTGCAATTCCTTGTGTGCAGTTTCTCACTCTTTCTCTCTCATTCCTCTTTCTGTGATCAAGGCTCCCTTCCCACTGCAGCATCCACAGCTCTTCTATCCCCCAAATCTACTCTCTGCAGCTCCTACCTTCCACCATGTGGCAGTTTTCACCCCTAGTTGTGCATTTTTGCTCCCTCAGTCCTCAGATCAATTTCTTGGGGGTTCAAAATGATTTGATATTTACCTAGCTGTGTTCAAGGGATGAGGCAAGGATGAGGTCTCCCTATTCTACTGCCATCTTAACTCCTCCTCCCTCAAAGTGTTAAAAGTAAAAAAGTCAACCAAAAATTATACATCCAGCAAAACCATCCAAAATAAAGACATACCCAGGTTTTCAAAAAGACTAAGAGAATTTATTGCTAGCAGGTATGCCCCCATAATAAGTTCTAAAAGAAGTTTTTCTGCTTGAAAAGACATTAGATAGTACCTTACATCCTAATGAAGGAATAAAGTATACTAATAAAATAATTACATCTTGGGTTAGTTTCCTATGGCTACTATAAAAAATTTCCCAAAACTTAGTGGCTTAAAACAATACACATTTATTGTCTCATGATTTTCAAATTTAGAAATCCAACACAGGTCTCACTGGCCTAAAATCAAGGTGTCAGCAGGTCTGGATTCTCTTTTGGTAATCTCTAGGGGAAAATTCACCAAATTCCCTTTTCCAACTTCTAGATGCTACTAGCATCTAGGACACAGATTAGCAGCAGACCTGTTCACAGAGACCTTGTAAGCCAGAAAAGAGTGACATATTTAACATGCTAACGGGAAGGGAAATAATTAAGATTACAACAGAAATAAATGACTTAGAAATTAAAGCAGTAGAACAGATCGATGAAACTAGGAGTTGGTTCTTTGAAAGAATTAACAAAATTGATAAATCCCTAGCCAGACTTACCTAAAAGGAAAGAGAAAGGACCCAAATGAAAAAAAAAATCATGAAGAGGAGAGATCAGAACCAACACCACAGAAATACAGACAATTATAAGAATATTATGAGGAATTATATGCCAAAAAACTGGGCAATCTGGAAGAAATAGACAAATTCCTAGAAACATATAAACTTGCTGAACTGTAACAGGAAGAAATAGAAAATTTGAACAGACTCCTAATTAGCAGAGAAATTGAATCAGCAATCAAAAATCTCCCACAAGAGTCCAGGGCCAGATGGCTTCCCAGGGGAAGTCTACCAAACAATTGAAGAATTAATATCTGTTCTTCTGAAGCTGTTCCAAAAGACAGATATGGAAGGACTTCCAAACTCATTCTTATGAAACCAGCATTACCTTGATTCCAAAGCCAGACAAAAACCCCACTAAAAAGGAGAATTACAGCTAATATCCCTGATAAACATGCACACAAAAATTCTCAACAAGATACTAGCAAATCAAATCATTACAAGGATTATTCAGCATGATCAAGTGGGATTTATTCCTGGACTGCATGGGTAGTTTAATATCCACAAATTGGGGGATCTCTGGGTTGCTCAGTGGTTTAGTGCCTGCCTTTGGCCCAGGGCATGATCCTGGAGTCCTGGGTTGGAGTCCCACGTTGGGCTCCCTGCATGGAGCCTGCTTCTCCCTCTGCCTATTTCTCTGCCTTTCTCTCTCTCTCTCTCTGTGTGTGTCTCATGAATAAGTAAATAAAAAAAAATCCACAAATCGACCAATGTGATACACCACACTAATAAAAGAAAGGATAAAAACAATATGATCCTCTCAGATGCAGAAAAAACATTTGACAAAATACGACATCTTTTCTTGATAAAAATCCTCAAGAAAGTAGGGCTAGAAGAATATAGCTCAACATAATAAAGGCCACCATATATGAAAGCTAATATCATCCTCAATGGGGAAAAACAGAGCTTTTCTCTTAAGGTCAGGAACACAACAGGAATGTTTGCTCTCACCACTATTGTTCAACATAGTATTGAAGTCCTAGTATCAGCAATCAGACAACAAAAATAAATAAAAGCACCAAAGTGGCAAAGAAGAAGTCCAACTTTCATTCTTCACAGATAACCTGATACTCTACATAGAAAACTTGACTCAACCAAAAAATTGCTAGAACTCATACATGAATTCAGCAATTGGGCGGGATATAAAAATCAACATACAGAAATTTGTTGTATTTCTATACACTAATAATGAAGCAGCAGAAAGAGAAATAAAGGAATTGATCCCATTTGTAATTACACGAAAAATAATAAGATACCTAGAAATAAACCTAACCAAAGAGGTAAATGATCTATATGCTGAGAACTATAGAACATTTATGAAAGGAATTGAAGAAGACACAAATAAATGGAGAAAGCATTCCATGCTCTCGGATTAGAACAGCAAATATTGTTAAAATGTCTATAATTTCTAAAGCAACTTAAACACTTAATGAAATCCCTATGAAAATACCACCAGCATTTTTCACAGAGCTAGAACAAACAGTTCTAAAATTTGTATGGACCATAAAGAACCCAAATGGCCAAAGTAATGTTGAAAGACAAAAACAAAGTGGGAGCATCACAATTCTGGACCTCAAGCTGCATTACTAAGCTGTAATAATCAAAACAGTATGGTACTGGCACAAAAACAGACACATAGATGAAGGGAATAGAATAGAGAAACCATAAATGGACAAACAACTGTATGAGTAATTAATCTTTGACAAAGCAGGAAAGAATAACCAATGGAAAAAGGACTGTCTCTTCAACAAATGGTGTTGGGAAAACAGGACAGCCACATGGAGAAGAATAAAACTGAACCACTTTCTTACACCATATACAAAGATAAATTCAAAGTGGATAGAAGACAGGAAACCATCAAAATCTTAGAGGACAAAGCAAGCAGCAACCTCTTGGACCTTGGCCACAGCAACTTCTTACTAGACATGTCTCCAGAGGCAAGGAAAACAAAAGCAAAATGAGCTATTGGGACTTCATCAGGATAAAAGCTTTGGCACAGCAAAGGAAACAATCGACAAAGCTAAAAGGCAACTGATGGAATGGGACATATCTGATAAACGGTTAGTATCCAAATTCTATAAAGAACTTATCAAACTCAACACCCCATACCTAAATCATCCAGTTAAGAAATGGGCAGAAGACATGACTAGACACTTTTCCAAAGAAGATATCCAGATGGCTACCAGACACATGAAAAATGCTAAACATCAGTGATCATCAGGGAAATACAAATCCATGATGAGACACCACCTGACACCTGTCAGAATGGCTCAAATTAACAACATATGAAACAACTGATGCTGGCAAGGATCAGAGAAAGGGAAATGCTTTGGCAATTTTGGTTGGAGTCACTAGTGCAGTCACTCTGGAAAACAGTACGGAGGTGCCTCAAAAATGTGAAAAACGGAACTATCCTATGATCCTGCAATTACATTATGTGGTATTTATCCAAAGGATTAAAAGATGCTGATTTGAAGGGGCACATGCACCCTAATGTTTATAACAACACTATCAACAATAGCCAAATTATGGAAAAGCCCAAATATCCATTGAATGATGAATGGATAAAGAATATGCAGTATATATACGGTGGAATATCACTCAGCCATCAAAAGGGATGAAATCGGGGCAGGACGGGAGCAGTGATCCGGGGCCACTATGAGCTGCACCATCGAGAAGATCCAGACAGACGCCAAGATGCTGCTCCAGCGGCTACGGGAACACGACGCGGCCGCAGAGTCGCTCGTGGATCAGTCCGCCGCGCTGCACCTGCGGGTGGCCGCTATGCGGGAGGCGGGGACGGCGCTTCCGGACCAGTATCAAGAAGATGCATCCGATATAAAGGACATGTCCAAATTCAAACCTCACATTCTGCTGTCCCAAGAGAATACACAGATTAGAGACTTGCAGCAGGAAAACAGAGAGCTATGGGTTTCCTTGGAGGAACACCAGGATGCTTTGGAACTCATCATGAGCAAGTACCGGATACAGATGTTACAATTAATGTTGCCAAAAAGGCTGTGGATGCTGAGCCTGTCCTGAAAGCTCACCAGTCTCACTCTGCAGAAATTGAGAGTCAGAGTGACAGAATCTGTGAAATGGGAGAAGTGATGAGGAAAGCAGTTCAGGTGGAGGATGACCAGTTTTGTAAGATTCAGGAAAAACTAGCCCAATTAGAGCTTGAAAATAAGGAACTTCGAGAATTATTGTCCATCAGCAGTGAATCTCTACAGGTCAGGAAGGAAAACTCCATGGACACTGCTTCCCAAGCCATCAAATAACTCAACTTACAAATGACAGCTGGAGATTGTTTATCAAGGAAGGAAGTTATTATCTTTCTGTTCGAGTATTGTCCATTTAGTGTCTTGCCTCAGACTTGATTTAGTGTGGATTAAAGGTATCAGGTGGCAGTTTAGAATTTGCAGTCAAATTGGCTGTCCACAAAACAGTTTTTGGGTGTGTTTGTGAAAATACACACTGAGTTTCACCATTCCTTTCTCTAAGAGACTATTTTTAATTTTCAGTTCTGGGACCTCAATTTATATAAACTGTGGTATCAGATCCTTTTTGTTTCTTCACATCTCTCAAACTTAGATCCTTTATTATAAGCCAGCAATTTTTATTTATATAGGATTGTAAGTTACAAGTCTAAAATTTTTTTAAAAGATATTAGCTATTTAAATCTATTTGGCATAGCCTAGATTTTTTTTTCCCATTTGAGAAAAGGAATACAATTCCACAGAACTAGATTGGCAGATTCTCTGCTTTGTAATGTCATTCACCTACCAAGAAGTTTTAGGTCTCTCTGGTGCTAAGAGTTGGCACTTATGACGTGGTGTCTTTACTCTTAATTTGAGAGAACCTACTGCTAGTGCCCAAGAAACATACTTGAAAATAGGTCACCCTTTTCTTCTAGCGATAGTAGAGTCAGCATATTGTTCAAAGAATCCTGAGAAGTTTGTCCTGTGTGTGTGCACATACATTTGTACCCTTAGTTCAACTGCTGAAAGTAGCTGTTATTTATTCTATTATATATTAGTAGTCAACTTTTCAATATTGTCCTAGGAAATCTTCAACTTGGGTGGTTTATTCAGTGGAAGAGCATACAATGGGTTTATTCACATCATAGTTTTTAGGTACTACATTCTATTTAATTTATATATAACTTCTGTCTTATAGTTAAGGACCATCACTTACTTAGATGTCTTTCATTATTAGTATGGATAGTTGGCTTTATTTTTAGATCCATTTTTCATGAGGCAGCAAAGTTTTATCACCTAATGAGAGTTATTACATTCATTGTGCTGTGTAGACAAGAAAGCAATGTTGAGATTCAAATGCTGAGTGGTCAACTAGGCTCATTTATCAACCCATTTGCCCATCTCAGTTTAGTCACACATGACAAATTTACAAATTACTCCATGTAATTAATCAGTTTGGGTTTGCCCAAAAATAACTGAAATGATGAATCTTAAACCTATCCATATTTTCCAGTAGCACTAAGCACCATACTGCATGGGAGAGACACAGTATTAAAAAAAAGTTTTTTGTTAAAAAAAAAAAAGGGGGATGAAATCTTGCCATTTGCAACAACATTGATGGAACCAGAGTGTATTATGCTATGTGAAATAGATTAGTCAGAGAAAGACCATGTGATTTCACTCATGGGGAATTTAAGAAACAGGGGCACCTGGGCGGCTCAGTGGTTGCGTGTATGCCTTTGGGTCAGGTCATGAATCCGGGGTTGTAGGATCAAGTCCTGCATTAGGCTCCCTGCAGGGATGCCTGTGTCTTCCTCTACCTATGTCTCTGCATCTCTTATGAATAAATAAATAAAATCTTTTAAAAACTAAATTAAAAATAGATTGAGAAAAATAAATGGCACTATTTTTGATGTAAAAAAAATTGCTTAGAACATTGCAGAATTCAGGGAATGGTGTTCATGTGTACTCTTCTTACAGAAGCTACTAGAGGAAACCAGTCAAGGAATGACCAGTCTCAGTAAAAAGACTTCTCACTGACTGCATATGTATCTACCTGGAGATAGAATATTAAAAATAATGTAAAAATAAGGATGGTGGAAAAGAATATAAATGATATATGATCTGACAACTTAAGATAACACCTTAAAAATGAAAAAAAAATCAGAGGGAGAGAAAATAAAAGAATATGCTTACTGGTTGTTTCATCTATAATACCTAGAAACTAAGAGACATTTAAAATTGAAAACTCATTTTAGAAGTATAACATATTTAACAATAAAAAGTCAATACTAAGAGAGACAATATTGACTAAAATTATTTGAAGGAGGGGAAAGAATAAGGGGGAAGCAGAAAATATGAGTTAATTTCAGTGCTGTTTATATTAGGAAAATTATAGATATGATTCTAAAGAAAAAAATAATAAAGGTATTAAAGACATAATTATATAGCCACTAAATAAGAATCACACAGAAGAGACTTTTAATATGTTACATAAATGATATTATAGAACTAAAATTAACCATAGCAAGAAATGTAAATAAGCTTACCTAGTAGAGGAAAAAAATTGATTCGCAGATTGAGTCACAAATCTAGGTGACAAACCCAATTTCTAGGCTATATATAAAAGTAACCCTGAGGGGATCCCCGGGTGGCGCAGCAGTTTGGCACCTGCCTTTGGCCCAGGGCGCGATCCTGGGGACCCGGGATCCAGTCCCACGTCGGGCTCCCGGTGCAGGGAGCCTGCTTCTCCCTCTGCCTGTGTCTCTGCCTCTCTCTCTCTCTCTGTGACTATCATAAAAAAAAAAAAAAGTAACCTTGAAAATAAACCTATTTAGAAAAGTTCAAAATCAAAAGATGAAAAAAGACATAGAAAAGAGCAAAACAGAAAGGAAATGGTGGTTGCAATAGGATAGGACAGAAAGTAGAGGTCAAGCCAAAAAACAGTAAAAAGACATGTTATCTTGCTAATGCACACAAACTAAACTAATGGCTATGGATATCTGTGTATTAAATAATGTAGCAGAAATGTTGCTAAAACAGTAATCATAGGAGGCATAATGGGAAATGGACAAACAGTAGGAGACTTCATTTCTTTCAGTCCAAGTCAGATCAAATGGACAAAAATAAGGTATCTGCTTCTGGATATGATAGAGTTCATGGCAGGAAAATTCTTCCACTAAGGATAACTACAAAATCCAAATAAACTTAGAATATTATTTTCTAATGCATCAGAAAACCGTAAAAGCAAATAGTAGAAGAGGGACTAAGATTCCAGAGACTAAGAGGAGAGAGAACATTTTATAATAAAGGAGTCAAGAACCTACAATTGTCTTTTTCAGGAGATTTTATGCCATTTCTGGGTATGGGCTGGAGACTAAGGGTCAGGGTGTGGTCTCTCCTGGGGAGGTGGACAAACTGAGCTTTGGGTAAGCATTCAGGACTGGTCTTAGTGGGCAGACCTAAGTAGTCCTTAGTAGGGACCGCTGGTCCCCCACTCCATCTCTTGTCTTTTCTCTCTTTCTCTGTATATAAAATGTGTTTGCTTATATACATACGTGTTGACCCTTGAACAATACAGGGGTTGGGGTGTTGGCTCCCACACACTCGGTAATGTACATGTAATTTTGACTCCCCACCACTTAACTACTAATAGCTTAATGTTGACTAGAAGCCTTACTGGTAACATAAACAGTTGATTAACACATATATTGTATGTTTTATGTATTACATAATGATTTTTTAAAGGTATGTATGTATTCATTCATTCATTCATTCATTCATGAGAGACAGAGAGAGAGGCAGAGACATAGGCAGAGGCAGGAGAAGCAGGCTCCATGCTGGCAGCCCGATGTGGGACTCCATCCTGGGACTCCAGGATCACACCCTGAGCCGAAGGCAGATGCCCAACCACTGAGCCACCCAGGCGTCCCATAATGATTCTTTCAATAAAGTAAGCTAGTGTAATCTATTATGTAGACCTATTATGTAGATCATCATAATAGAAAATTCACTGGGAGTGTTGCATTTATTGAAAAAAATCCAGATGTCAGTAGATCTGTACAGTTCAAAGCCCGTGTTAAGGGCAACTGTTTATACATATACATTTATGTATATATATATATACACACACACACATATATACATCAAATGCTTTTAAACTCCATTCTTATATCTTTTAAGTTAAATATTATTTATTTTAGAGAGAGAGAGATCAAGTGGGGGGGATAGAGGGAGAGTGAGAGGGAGAGAGAGAATTTTTTTTTTGAGAGAGATAATCTCAAGGAGATTCCCTGCTGAGCATGAAGCCTGATATGGGGCTCAAGCTGACAACCCTGAGACCACAACCTAAGCTGAAATCAAGAGTTGGCTTTCAACTGACTGAACCACACAAGCACCCCAAACTCCATTCTTATACTTTGCTATAAAGTATTTTAAGTTAAATATTACCCTGAGGGGGGAAAAAAACAAAAAAATATTACCCTGAGGACATTTGTAATCTTATAAAAGCATGCTCTGGAATAAAGATCCAGCATGAAGAAATGCACTTTACAGCATTTTAAAAATTTAGCTCTTTAATCATTAAAGAATATTGCTAATCACAGTTAGTACAGCTTGACTGTGTTGATTTTATTCTATTACAAAATCTCCTAGAGTTTTTGTCAAACCTGATTGACAGTATAATCCGTTACTCTAATTTAGTGTTCTCTGCATTACAGAATAAAATTAACAGTGTCACCAAATAACCATCACCAAGTGACAGCTCAACAAAAGAGCTAGGGAGGCAAATGCATGTGTTATTATATTACACAAGCAATACTGTTCTTGTGTTTAAATCTCATAGTCAATTCTAAACTCAGGCATCTCTGAAAATCAGATTTTCAAGTTGAAAATAAACATGAGATGGTAAAAATAGAGCCTAAGGGCAGAGGGGCATATTCAGGCTTATGAATACTTTTGAAAGAGACTGAGAAATAGCTTCACAGCAATGCAAATTTGTTATGCACATTAGACTGATCTATTGAAGAACTGTCTCAATTGCATGAGTTAGAAGAGCTGACCCATGGAGGGAGTGTAACTTGAGGGAATATGTGAATATGTGAAAAATGAATTGAGCCATGATTGCAAATGGTGTTTTATGCCCATATAGTCTATAAATTTGTTTTGATTTGCATACAAGTTTTACATACTAAAAAATAAAGCTGACAGGAAGAAGACAAAGATGCCCAGTCTCACCACTTTTATTCAAACATAGTACTGGAAGTCATAGCTATAGCAATCAGACAACGAAAAGAAGTAAAAAGCATCCAAATTGGTAAGGAAGAAG